GAGTGGCTGGTAGTTTCGAACCGCTGACCTTAAGGTTTGCAGCCCGATTCGTAACCACTACGCTACCAGAGCTCCTTTATATATATATTTATAATAATTACATAAAAGAACAAAGAGCAGAGGCTTCTAATATACAGTAAAAGTCTCATGGGACTTGGTGTTTGATTTGGAAATTCAGGGTCATGGCACATCAGAGTGAACTGGCCTAATAACGTGCTTAGTGCTTTTCTTCTACCTCCTAGTTCTTACAAATGAATAAAGAGCCATTGTGTAGCTAGCAATGGACTGCTAACTGCAAGGCTGGCAGTTCAAACCCACCAAGTGATCCTTGGAAACGCTATACAGAGTTGTTATGAGTTGGAATGGATTGGATGGCACTTAACAAGAAGAAGAAGAGGGGTTGATTCAATTATTTCAAAGTGAGGACAAATTAACATAACATTAAAAGGGCACATGGGAGTGGTCCAGTTGTCCGCCTAGAAGTCAGACATTTATAACCTGGGGACTGCCTATAGGAGAAAAAAATTCCACTGAAGACCAGTAAGCCAGACATTTTGTTGCTATTGTTCGTTTTCTAAATTCTGTGTGTACAATTCTCTACAAGTATTCTAAAACTCAATTCTAGGCTTGTTGGTGACTACTTCCCGAGTTGTCAAAATTATTCTACATTTTAAAAACTTAGAAAAAATTAACAACTCATTTCTATAAACAAATAAACTTTTTCATGAAAATTAAGTTCAACACAACTCAAAACAGTGTCAAATCCCTTTACCTCCAGGTTTATAAGACTGGAACACTTGATCAGGTTTCCTTGTCTCCAGCAGCAGATCAAACATATATGTTGACTTCACACCACCTAGTAAAAGTCCCATTGGCGTATCTTCTTCCCCTTCATATGATCTTTCTAAATAATCATGAAACTCATCATATTTAACAAGACGACAGCAATCCAGGGGGAGGATCTCTTCTAAATCCATCATCTAAAAGAAAAACCCACAGCAAAAAGCAAAGCAATAAACAAAGAGAATTTTTGTATGATGTGTAACTGTAACCATCTATAGGTCCAAACAAACAATGAAGTCCACATATTCATAACTTGCATCAAAGCTCAAAGATATCAATGTCAAAGGCATGTCTTATAGGCTATTTTTAAATGCTCAGGTTTTATTATCCCCAAATCATACAACTATGCTCTAACACTTTTTAAAGTCATTTTTGGCTTTAAGAAAAGAAAAAAGCTAACATTCTGAACTTTGTCTTCATTGTAACCTTCTGTCAAGTTCAAATTTTAAATAAACTCAAAGCCAGTGTGCTATAAGCTATTGTTTTATAACCACTAAGCTGGAAACGTAAGGGGAAAACAACCAACTAGAATATGTAGTTTTTCCTTTCTTAATCCAATCCAGACTAGAATTTAGACCTTGTATATCTAGTAACTATCTTCCTAAGTACAGAAGAGCAGCTTCTTTACAACCACTACTTAGCTCATAACTTCTGTGTCTCTCAAGTGCTACCCTAGTCTTACAGGTACCAGGCCCTTTGATATTAATCTCCAGGGCGCCAATATGGCACAGGAATTCCAATCATAAACTTTTCCCCTAACCCAAAGTAGTAGTAGATGATAGACCTTGAGATGCAACATCGCTTGAGTGAGAAATTGAACTTCTTGGAAAAACACAATAGGGCTGCTTGGAAGTATTCAAAGTCGGCTTAAGGTTCGCAATGATGAGTTGAAAGAAAATCCTGTAAGCCTTTGTATGTCCCCACTGATCTTAACCCTTTCCTCTCTCAGAGATAGAGCTCATATGATTGATTTTTTTCTTCTATTTTTTGAACTTTTTTTACTTGTGAACTTTTACTTTCTATTTTCAAGATAGTATTTTTCTTCCTGCATTAAAAACTGGTGAAATATAAACTACCTTTATTGCTATCCCACTAAACCTTACTATGTAGAGCAGTTCTGTTGTTTAGTCATCTTCTTCATTTTACTCTAATAAGTTTCACCATTAGGATGATGTTTGTAGCCTACTATTAAGTTCAAAGAATGTTTTACTACATTGAGGGGGAATCCAGAGTTTGTTCATTCATTCATATACCCACCCAATTTTGACTCTCCTATGCACCAGGCGTGTGGGGCACTGTAAGACAGGGGACTGTTCATTGCAAGGTTGGTGGTGCAAATCCACCAGGCACTCCTCAGAAATCATATGCAGGGTCACTATGAGTCGGAACCGACTCAACGGCACTTAACAACAATGCATGAGGCACTGTGCTAAGTACTGGAAATGTAATAGTCCGAAAAACCAGAGTGATACTTATAGTATCATGAGGAACAGTGACATTTTAATTAATGGACAATTAAATGTAAAATTTCATTACTGGTTAAGTGCTACAAAGGACAAGTACATAATACAACTGATGCACAAACTAGTATATCTAACAATTACCTGGAATACTTTAAAAGGCATAGTCCCAGGCTCCACCACAGAAATATTGACTCATCTGTCAGAAGTACATTTTTAGTAAGAATGTGATTCTGGTGCAGGTTGTGCTAGACCACACTTGACCAACAAAAATATTGACTATCTTGAGTGCTATTTGTTGCTGCCATAGAGTCAGTTCTGACTTATACTGACCCTGTCCCTTTTCCTGAGAGTGGCTGGTGGGCCTGAACTGCTGACCTAGTTGTTACTAGCCCAGTGTTTATCCTACAATTATTGTTATTGTTAAGTGCTGTACTGTTGGTTCCAACCCAAAGCAACCCTGCATAGGGTTTCCAAGGAACAGCTGGTGAGCCTGAACCCATCTTGCAGTTCAAATGGATTTGCAGAACAGGGTGCTATATATCATTATAAATAAAATAAATGCAGTGTGCAATTTTTTTCTCTGGGTTATAACTTTAAATCCAGTAAAATGTTGTTAATGGTTACACAGAAATGGTAAAAAGGGGGAAAAAAAGTCGCCAAGTATTACAACTGACATTTAGAGTCTGGTACTGTCCTATGTGCCTTTCAAACAACTAATATACATTTCCATTAGTCTTAGAAATAAAGGCACGTTTCTTCATTTCCCACCAAGCCTCTAAGTTAATTTGTTAAGTGCCGTCAATTTGGTTCTGACCCACAGCAACCCTGTATAGGGTTTCCAAGGAGCAGCTGGTGAGCCTGAACTGCTAATCTTGTGGTTCAAACTGACTTTGCAGTCTCGCGCATTAACCTGCAGCGCCACACCAGGACTCCAACTTGATGCTTCTCTATCTTTATTTATGACAAGGTATGAAGGGGCTTCAGAAAGTTCTTAGAAAAATGGAATTAAAAGATAATGGAATTTTTCCTTGAACCTTGGAAGCCCCCTCTTACACATAAAGCCACCCTTTTCAGTTCTTGAACAGGTCATTCACTTCGGAGTTTCTACTATGCTGTTTCCTCTACCTGGAATATTTTTCCTTAACTTTTTGCAGAGTCTCCTTTTCATGGTTAAGGTCTCAGAATACATTAATCCAACATTCTACTGGTTGACTTTATAACATCTAAACAAAATAATTGCAAATTGTGATATATATATATATATATATATATATCCCCGCCCCCCC